GCTCTAGACTAGTTCCCTCCTCTGTTAAAAGAATGGACATTGAATCAGAAGGCCTCAAAGGTGCTGCTCTAATTCTACAGACCTGTAAATTGAAACAGCCGCAATCATTTGCAACAATGAACAGTAGCTACTACCTGAGTGCCTTTACCACATAGGAAGTGATGTGCCAGGAAATGCTACACAGTTGACACATTTAATTTTCAAAATAACCCTGTAAGAGAGCTTTTTTTCATTCCATTTTACAAATGAGGAAAGAGGCTGAAAGATGCTAAATGGCCGGCTCAAGGCTACAGCCGATAAGGAGCACCCGAACCCCGCGCCAGACCTCGGAACAAGTCCACGTGGCCTCCTGCGTTCTAAAGGGTCTCTCCACCGTGCAACAGGAGTGAGCACGGCCTCCCTGCGAGGATGCTGGCTATACCAGTTGGTCCTGTTGATGAAGAGGACTCTGCACGCAGGGAGGCCACAAGGTGACAGGTTTCCCCACCATGGCTTTAAAATACCACTTCTCTGGGGAGCGCCTGGGTGGCGGGGTTGGTTAAGCGTCTCAGGCCATGACCTCATGGTTTGTGAGTTCAAGCCCCGCCTCAGAAGCCTGCCTTCTGTCTCTCTCTCTCTCAAAAATAAATAAAACATTAAAAAAATAAAATAAAATACCCCTTCCCTGGAAAGACTTAGTCAAAACCCTTTGTCGTGACATGCCCCTTGTTCCAGGATGGGACTGGGAGGGGGCCAGAAAACTGGGCCTCACCAGGTATTGCCTTTCCAACCTTTACATCACTCTCTGTCCCCTGGGGAAGGCTCTATGGGAAGGGCTCAGGTGACAAATAAGAGATAAACAAAAAGCTACAAATTTTTCTGTGCAAGCATGCATAGAATTTTTTTTTTTTTTTTTTTTGGATAGGAAAAGAGCACTGGGATGCCTGGGTGGCTCTGGTAGTTAGTTGAGCATCCAACTCTTGATTTCAGCTCAGGTCATGATCCCAGGATCATGGGATTGAGCACCATGCCAAGCTCTGCACTAAGCATGGAGCCTGCTGAAGAGTCTCTCTCCCTCTGGGGCACCTGGGTGGTTCAGTCGGTTAAGTAGCCAACTTGGTTTTGCTCGGCTCAGGATGCGATCTCTCGGTTCATGAATTTGAGCCTTGTGTCGGGCTGTGCTGACAGTGTGGAGCCTGGTTAAGATTCTGTGTCTCCCTCTCTCTCTGCTCCTCCCCTGCTCAAGCTTGGGTGCTCTCTCAAAATAAATAAACTAAAAAAAAACAAAATCAAAAAACCTCTCCCTCTTCCCCTCCCCCACTCACCAGCATATAATAAAAAATATATATATAAAACAAAAACACAAAAAAACACCTAAGAGAATAAGAGAAAAACAAACCAAAAAACCCAAACAAATTAGTCTATGAATCAATGCACCCACAACTTTTCTTTTTTTTTTTTTTCTTTAATCCAGCATTCCTCATAAAAGGCTTAAAAATCACCCAAACCTGGTTGGCCTGGCTCAGAGCCAGAGGCCCGACCAAAATATTTATTCTCTGGTAGTATTCAGAAGCCAAGGAATTAATCCCTGTGTGAACATTTAAACAGGGGCCGCCCTGAAGTGAAAGCTCATTCAAAAACTCAACAGAGACCTCAACATGTGCAGGACAACACCACCAAGTGGGGCCCTGTCCTTCTCTGCCGAGGGGGCGGGGGTGGCTCCCGGGACTTTCCAGTTGTTAATTCGCAGTTGGGTGTAGCGTGGTGGGGTCCCCTCCAGCCTCTATTTAAACCTCTCCTGTCACATGCCAGCTTCGCGAACTTACGCAAGTTAGTTCCTCAACAGCTTGGGGTCCGTCCGTCCAGAAAGGGGAACTGACCCCAACCTTACAGAATTACAGGAGAATCCAGAAGCCAGGAGTCATTTCAGGGGACCCTCAGCGCAGTGTAACACGCAGAATGCCCCCTCCACAGTTCCCTTCTCCTGTTTTGGGGCGCATATCAGCTCACCGAATCCTCGAAAACAACCGTGGAGAGAGGTTACTGACGAGGTCCCTGAGGCACCAGTCTCGCTGTTTGTGACAGATTGGGAGGACAGGTGACTCCACCCAGAGCTGCTTTCCTCACACCCAGACAACCCAGTCCTATGGCTCCCTAACCGAAGCTGAAAGTAGGCTCTGCTAGCCTGATGTGCTTGGGGAGGTTTAGACTGTGTCCTCAGTGATGTTAACCCCCTCCACCTTGCTCTGACATGTCCAACACCTCGGATGTGCTAGCGAACGGTAGCTGGAATGCCACCCCTACTGGAACACGACCCCACTTAGAAGGACCACATCAGATCCAGCTCTGCAGGCCCCGCTCAAGTCACCACAGGCAAAATCAGATGTCGATCCTCATTCCCCCTCCAAGCCTATTTGAGTAGTCCTGCATTTCCTCGCAAGGATGGGATTCTGTTCACCTTGTAAAGTGCCTGAGCGCGGACTTTCCGTGCCGTGGGCCTGCAAATGGAAAGGGCATGGGGCTCCAGATCAAGAGCCCTGAGGGCTGGCTCCAGTTCTGCATGGCCAGGTTGAGCAGCTGAGTACTGACTGCTCAATCTTACAGCTAAAGACCTGTCTCAGCCCTGCTCCCCCTTCTGTGCTGCTCCTCCAGCGACGCTTACGAAGAAAGCTAGAGCCACAAGAAAAGAAACTGAAACCATCAGCTGAGCTACACCTCCCTTCAACTGCCAAGAAAAATTCCATAACATGGCTTTGCCAAAGCCCCAAGGGGAATGCCTCCTGGTGGGGCTAATCCATTGCTAGGGTGGTCTAAACCTATGGAGTCCAGTTTAAGGTCCAGGTCATGGCCAGAGCACCAGTAAACAGACCTCTGGAAAGCCTATCGTGTCTACTGAGCCCACATGACCGAGTCACCATCCACCCCCAACAGCCCGAGCCAATGGTAGGTGCTCACAACCCAGAGAGCAACCAGCTCCTCTGGCATGAATCATATTCTCTCCTTGGAATGTGATCTCTGACCTGGGAAATACTCAAGAAGAAGGGAGTTAAAGAGGAGCGGACACGTCAGGTGTGGAGGGAGGCTGGAGAGGCCACACAGAAGAAAGGCAGGGGGCGGGGGTTGGGGGAGGGGTCAGATTATACCAAGATGAAGGGAAGCTAGACAGCAAATGGCTGCAGAGAAGGGATACGCTTCAGGACAGAGAAGGGGAGGTGTCGCCAGAGACATAAAGACAGGCAGACAGTGCAGACCATGTGATCCACGCTGGAGCCCATGGGATGGGGTGCCTTGGAGCTCCCTAGGGACTTCCTAGCCCTTGCCACAAATCCCCTCTTTTTTTTTAAATTTTTTTTATAATGTTTTTATTTTTATTTTTGAGAGACAGAGTATGAGCAGGGGAGGGGCAGAGAGAGAAAGAAAGACACAGAATCTGAAGAGGCTCCAGGCTCTGAGCTGTCAGCACAGAGCCCGACACGGGCCTTGAACTCACAAGCCGTGAGATCGTGACGTGAGCCGAAGTTGGACGCTTAACCGACTGAGCCACCCAGGTGCCCCAAATCCCCTTTCTCTTGAGATAATTCAATCATCTCTAGCCTTCCACGCTGAAAGAGCTTAAATCTCAATAGCCACAGCCTGAACCCCTAATGGGGTCACTGTGAAGCCTGGGGCTACAGTGTGTATGGTTTGGGACAAAGTCGTACTTCTGATGGAAAAAACAAACTTGAAAAGGAGCCAACGTTTCTTCAGGGTTGACCACACGCCAGGCGCTGTATATTTTGTCATCTCATCATTCCTCACAACCCCATTCGGCCCCCAGATGGACATGTTCTCATTTTACGTGTGTGTGCGTGTGTGCAGGTGGGGGAGGGGGGTTAGCTCCACTACTCAAATAAAAGCTCTCTGGCTGTGAATGGCAGAGCTGGGAAAGGAGCCTGCAAACACAGTGGGCGACCACGTGACCTCAGGCAGGCGGGAGCAGAGACTCCACGGCAGGCTCTCAGCTGGACCAGGCCAGTGGTCTGCCCAGGGGCCAATGTCTGCTGGCTGCATCAAAATCTCCCAACATTTTATGACAATGTCCATTCCCGAGCTCCAGCCCCAGAGGTTCTGATTCAGAAGGTCTGGGTAAAGCCTGGGAATCTGTACTTTGTGGCTGAGTAAAAGGTACTTCCAGGCGTCAGAATCACGGGGCTGTGACGGAGGTTAGCGATGTCTTCTCATGAAGAAAACACACCTCGGGGCACCTGGGTGGCTCAGTCGGTTGGGCGTCCGACTTCAGCTCAGGTCACGATCTCACGATCCAGGAGTTCGAGCCCCGTGTCGGGCTCTGGGCTGATGGCTCAGAGCCTGGAGCCTGTTTCCGATTCTGTGTCTCCCTCTCTCTCTGCCCCTCCCCCGTTCATGCTCTGTCTCTGTCTCAAAAATAAATAAAAACATTAAAAAAAAAAAATTTAAAAAAAAAAAAAAAAAAAAAAGGAAACACACCTCTAGCCAGTGAAGCAAACTCCAAAGGGGACAAATCCTAGATTCTGCAAATTCTGAAATCTGTCCCCCAGTTCCTGAATATTGTAAACAGGGAAAAAAACAGTTTGAGACACAAGTTAGTAACATAAAAGCTGTACAAGAAAAGGCAAATAGGGTTCTAACGGAACTTATAGCCAATATGGAAAAAATACTGCCTGAAAAGATAATAATATATGTCATACACTTTTTAAAGTCTAGAAAAATGGTACGGGGGGTGGGGGGTGAGTCAGAACTTTCCCTCCTCCTTCCTGTTTGCTCACATGCTTTCAGATGAAAAAAAAAGAGAAGTAGAAATGGGGATTCTCTCTGGCCTTTGTTTTCAGATCCTTATTTAAGGAAGGGAAGACAATGGCTTTCACTGCAGGAGGAAAGCAGCATGAGGATCTGGTATGGGCTCTGCAATCAGACAGATCTGGATTTCTGTCCTCGCTCCACTACACACTTTCTGTGTCACCTTGAACAAGTGACTTAGCCTGTCTGAGCTCAGTTCTTCATCTACAACGTAGAGATTAATAATATTTACCTTCAAGCCTGTTTCAAAGATTCAGTAACATAAAAATCATAACATGTACCTAACAGGGGTGCCTGGGTGGCTCAGTCGGTGAAGCATCCGACTTCGGCTCAGGTCATGATCTCGCGGTTCCTGAGTTCGAGCCTCGTGTCGGGCTCTGTGCTGACAGCTCAGAGCCTGGAGCCTGTTTCGGATTTTGTGTCTCCCTCTCTCTCTGCCCCTCCCCCGCTTGCATCTCTGTGTGTGTGTGCATGTGTGCGTGTGTGTGTGTCTCTCTCTCTCTCTCTCAAAAACAAAGATAAAAAAAAATTATAATATGTACCTAACAAAAGTGGGACATCCCAGCCTTCAAGGGTGAGAGGCAACCTAACAGAAACCAGTCCAATCGTATGCTAAGAATATTGATGGATCAACCTTTCCATTTTTCCTGCCCCACTCCCTCAGATCCATTCTCCATCTTTCTCTGCTCTCATCTGTGCACCACGCTGACTCCTTCCAAACTGCATCACCTGGGCTCCCTTTACTGGCTTGTGGCTGGGTTTGGTCAATGAAAGGTCGAAAAGGAGGGGAGACAATGCTCCCCGCTCCCTATCCCCAGCACCCCTAATTGGTACCACATTTCTGACAGCACCTTCATCTACCCAAGCCTACAATTTCTGTTGAGCAGTCATTCCTCCACTGTTCTAATTATCACTAGCATCTGGTAACACAACTGCCTCCTTTGGCCCCCTTCAGCCCAGGGGTAACATCTACTCCCTGATTGCTCATCTTTGGGCTCCCTGGTCTCTCTTATTGATCCTTGAAACCCCCCCCATAGCATTATCAAGAGTGATATCATGAAAGTCTCCTGAATTATCTGAATGAGGTTCCGTATTCTGCCAGGACCTAATGATTCATCTTGCTTGCTCTCAAACTGCTCTCTCTCAAGGGTGCCTCATCCTCCTAGTGGCCAGCTTGAGCCTGTCTATCCATTCCCTCAGGAAGGGACGGTTTCTTATAGAGAGGAACTGTAATCCCAGGAGCTAAGAGGTAACCGTATTCTTTCTAACACATGGCCTGAGAAACAGAAAGCCACTCTGAAGACAGGTAAGAACAAAGCAAAAGCATAAAAGCAGCAGAGCAAGGAAGAGCCTGAAGATGACCTTGAACTCCTGGAGAAACACTTGTAACCTTCTAATACATACTTTTTTTGCTTGGGCCAGTTAGTTGGTTACCATTACTAGCAACTGAGTCCTCAACACACATTGTGAGGTTAATTTCAACTGCTTCTACCACCACCAAACCAGGAGGAAATACCCCTAAGATAGTAAAGGAATCAAAGGCTGAAAAGAAAGGGATGACAGAGGGGCGCCTGGGTGGCTCCATCGGTTAAGTGTCCGACTTCAGCTCAGGTCACGATCTCGCGGTCCATGAGTTCGAGCCCCACGTCGGGCTCTGGGCTGATGGCTCAGAGCCTGGAGCCTGCTTCAGATTCTGTGTCTCCCTCTCTCTCTGCCCCTCCCCCATTCATGCTCTGTCTCTCTGTCCCAAAAATAAATAAAAGTTAAAAAAAAAAAATTTAAGGGGCACCTGGGTGGCTCAGTTGGTTGAGCAGCCGACTTTGGCTCAGGTCACGATCTCGCAGTCCGTGAGTTCGAGCCCCACATCGGGCTCTATGCTGACAGCTCGGAGCCTGGAGCCTGTTTCGGATTCTGTGTCTCCCTCTCTCTGACCCTCCCCCGTTCATGCTGTCTCTCTCTGTCTCAAAAATAAATAAACGTTAAAAAAAAATTAAAAAAAAAAAAATTTAAGAAAGGGATGAGAGAAACTGAAACTGACCACACTGAACCAAAGGTGAAAAATAAAAAAACGAGTAGATCTATAGGTAAGGGCAAGAACAGGATTCCAGCGAGGCACTACTGGCACTCAAAGACCAACACAGAAGTTGGTCAAAAGACAAAACAAAAGTTGAGGTGATTTAAAAAAAATTAACTCAGGGGCGCCTGGGTGGCGCAGTCGGTTAAGCGTCCGACTTCAGCCAGGTCACGATCTCGCGGTCCGTGAGTTCGAGCCCCGCGTCAGGCTCTGGGCTGATGGCTCAGAGCCTGGAGCCTGTTTCCGATTCTGTGTCTCCCTCTCTCTCTGCCCCTCCCCCGTTCATGCTCTGTCTCTCTCTGTCCCAAAAATAAATAAACGTTGAAAAAAAAAATTAAAAAAAAAAATTAACTCAGTCTTTCTTTTTTTAATGTTTATTTTTTATTTTTATTTTTTAATGTTTATTTTTGAGATAGAGAGTCAGAGTGAGAGGAGAGGGGCAGACAGAGGGAGACACAGAATCAGAAGCAGGTTCGAGGCTATGAGATGTCAGTACAGAGCCCGAAGCAGGGTTCAAACCCAAGAACTGCAAGATCATGACCTGAGCCGAAGTCGGATGTTTAACTGACTAAGACACCCAGGTGCCCCAAAAGTTGAGGCGATTTTAGAACTGAGTCGGTGGAAGCTCAATCACCTGCCTTCTGACCTTTATTCAGATGGTATAAATTCAGTTTCCCTCCTCCATAAATACATCAATTTTGTGGCCAACGTTAATAGTCCTTACGAAGAGATTTATTTAAAGTCAGTTACTCTGTATGGCTCTACCATACACAGAACAGACCATTTAACAATTGTGGCCCTAATATGTTCATGGTACTGGTAAGACAGAGGTTTAATTTTAAAAATGAAAACAATGTCCAACTTACCTCCTTTTTAAGAAATACCCTACTCAATGTCACTGAGTATCTACTAAGTGCTGGACACTGGCGAGGTTTTAAAAGTACCATACAGACAAATCAACAGATTATTACCTCCCAAGATCTATGATGGAATGACTGAGCCTCTAAAACTCCTAGGATCAGGCTTCTAGCCACCTCTGCAACCTAATCTCCCACCACTACCCCCAGCCCACCCCTGTGGCTCCACACTTTCTCCACCTGAAAGCCTGTGGGTGGACTCAGCGTCCCTTCCTCCTGCAAGGCTCAAACCTACTTAATTAATTCTTAAGCGTACTGAGAGCTCAGTTCAAATACTATTTCCTTAGGGAAGCTTCCCCTGACTTCCCAGAGTAGATCAGGTCCCTGATTTTTTTTCCCTTCACAGCTATCAGTACAATTTTACATACAAACACACAAAGAGATCTATAATTTCTGTCTCTTCCTTCTAGCATGGGAGCTATATAAGGGCAGGCTCCTTCCTATCCCTTGAGTCTAGCTCAGTTCTAGGTTGAATGAATGAATACTGAGTCCTGAAAATACACAGGAGGGACACTTGACATAGATTAGGGGAACAATTCCACCTCCTTAGGGAAGCCCTCCGAACATCACAGACCAATATTGTATAGCTCCTTTAATCTCCACAAACTATACCACTCCCTTAGCAAACATCTTATGTTCCATTGCCTTTACTTTATTCATCTTTGGAATAATAAAGGAATCAAAGGCTGATGGAAAGGGGACACGAGGAACTAAATTCGACCCTATTGGACCAAAAGTGAAAAGTAAAACACAAAATGATTAGGTCTCTATGGGCAAGAGCAGGGCTGTGGTGAGGCTTTGCCCAGACATCTGGGGATGTGTTACAGATAAGGTACATCTGGGGAGGTTACAGATAAGGTCACACTTGGCTTTCCCTGGTAGTTCATTAGGCCCAACATTCTCCAACTCTCGCTCTGGAGAGGTCAAGACCTGGGACTGAAGACTATGCACAGAAGATCTGACTATAGTTACAGCTGCCTCTGGGAATCTCAGACCTCCACGGCAGAACTAAGGCCACCGGCTGTAAATCCGTTGTTTTTTTGTTTTTTTTTTTAAAGTAGGCTTCACGCCCAGCGCAGAGCCCAACCCGGGTCTTAAATTCAGGACCCCGAGATCAAGACGCGGGCTGAGACCAAGAGTCCGGTGTTTAACGGACTGAGCCTCCCAGGCGCCCCTCCGGTGGGCGATTTGTATTTTCAAAGCGCTTTCACTTCAGTGTCTTCTCTCCCTGTGCTTCCCAACCACGAGGTAAGGAACAGCGGGCCAGAAGCCCACCGCCAGCCCCCATTTCCTAGTACAGAAAAGCGAGGCTCAGCCCAGTGATGCGACGCGCGAGAGCTGAAGAGTCTGTCCCGGGGGTGATGCTCCCTCATTGAGAAAAGGCCTCAGGGACTGCCCACCCCTTCCCATCCAGGTTTGGAACCTTGTACACGCGGAAGGCTGCAGGTACGCACACAGTCCTAAGTGGACGCTCGCCGTGGGGTCCTGCACACAACCGCATCGCGCGTTTCGGGCGGCACACGCCGGCCGCAGTGCTTTCTAACCACAAGGTAAACCCTGGCCGCCGCCTCCCGAGCGAACCCAGGGCGCGCCGAGACGCGCAGGGCCAGGGGCACCCAGGGCCTGACGCCGCGGCGTAGCTACCTGAACGCCGTGCACGATATACACCTTCTCGGCCTCGCTCAGCGCCACGGACGCCATGCTGCCGAGCCGTCCCGTTCGCCGCACGTCATCGGCTCGCGTCGCTCCCGCGCCGGCCGCGCCCCCCCCCCATGCGCTTGTGCGTCATCAGCCGGCGCGGCGGCCGCTCCTGCAGCCACCGCTGCTGCCGCCACCGCCGGCAGCTCGATGGGCTTCTCCTGCGCGCCGCCCCGTGTCTGGACGAGTCCAGGAAGCCGCGGCGCCTCGTGCCGGGGAGCCATCGCTGCAGCCCGAGGCCGGGTCCCGGGTCGGGGGCTGCAGGGGGAGGCGACGGCGGCGGCGGTGGGAGCCCCACCGGGGGCCTGGGACTGGGGAACTGCCTCCGGCTTCACGGTCAGTGGGGAGGGGGAACTGGGGTTGAGTGAAAAAGGCTGGGGTGAGGCCAGAGGCGTGGGCCGGGGCGGGAGCTTAGGACTTGCAGTGGGAGAGGCGCGCGTCGCAGTTTGCTGGGAGCTGGAGTTGAAGTAGCAGGTCGTGCGTGCGCGCGTGTGTGCGTGTGCGTGTGTGTGTGAGAGAGAGAGCGAGAGGGAGAGAGAGAAGAGAGACCGACCCCGAGTGAGGGGAGACGGACGTCGTGATTGTCCTGAGGGGCTGTCTCCTTGCTCTCCTCCTCTCTTCCCCCCATCCCCCGCCCTCCCTTCTGCGTTTCCCTAGTCCCTAGAATGGT